GTTTGTCGAAGATTAAGTTCATGATATTGCAGTTGTGAATTTTGTTTAATAAAATTGTAGAAAAATTATGAAATTTCGGCTCTAATCGTCTCGATCTTTCCTCGACCTCATTTTGTAAAGAAATAAATATTGTACCAGCATGCTGGCAAGTTATATACTTGGAGCCTGATGGTACAATCACTTGATGGAGCCAGCAAGCTGGTGTCATATATTTCCCCTTTTATACAAAAAGGTTTTTGGTTGGATAAAATATTAGTTTTTTTTCCAGAGTTCATTGTTTTTCTATACCATTACTTATTGAAAATGTTTGCATGTATACTTAATGTATATGTAAGTAAAAAATTTTAGCTACCATTTTCAGCCACAACGCCTTTTTTAGCCTTTTTTTGAAGGAATTTGGTTACCACTAAAAAGATTCGCGGTGCAAGGGAACGCAAAAAATAGAATTCCTTATATCCTTTTTAAAGTCGTATACATAAATCAAATAAAACTCCTCTTTGAGGTAAAATTTTCGAGTGACGAAAGCTGAACTAGAAACTCATATCAATTTCGTGACGAAAATTGTACGAATTTTTTAACTGCCTTGGAAACGTACGGAAAATGTTTTTTATTCATACAAATCGTTGCAAAAGTTCTGTTTTTTATTTTGTGTTTGTAGCAGTAGACGGAATTTCGCCACGTTCCGAATAAATAAAAAAAAGTTTTCCGTGCGTTTCCAAGGCAGTTAAAAAATGTGTATAATTTTCGTCACGAAATTGATATCATAAATTTTGTTTTTCTAGTTCAGCTTTTGTCACTCGAAAATTTTACCTCACAGAGGTGATTTATTTGATATCAATTATTTTGGGGTAGCAAATTTAAAATCGACGAAAATACAAACAGTAATCTAAATGTTTTATTTTGTCAAATAAATTGCTAAAAATGTTCAAATATTCAAATCGATGTGTCCATTGAAACATAATTTTTCGAATACGGAATAAAGCAAAAAATAATGATCATATCCTTTGTATTCGAAAAAATTAAAAAAAAATTGTGAGAACTGATAAAAACTTATCAACTTGGTACCGACTTTGGATACAATAAACAACTGTATTCGTCTGATTGCCTCGTAGTTCAATTTTTGTTAAGATTTCTACCGGGTGTGGGGCGCACACATGTGCTTTTTTAAGAAGTTTTACTTCTATCACGTGTACGGTGTTGCACTCGTGCTATTACACTAATGCTTTTTTCTCAAGTAGTTTTGCTCAGTGGCACTTTATACATTTTATGTAGGTAGTAGCGGCAGATTGGGTGAACTAAATGCATTCATACATACATATTTATGTCCAACTGTCGGTAATATTGCATGCGTCTTCCCAGGTAGGTTAAGTGCGGGTGATAAACCCACGTAGCATACATACATACAATTAAAATATGGAAAAATATTACAATTTCGGCATGTGACTGGAAAAAGCTCTAAAATACACACAAATTGTGGTTTCCAAGACATATACCAAGTTATGTACATATATAAATATGCATGTTATGTATGTACATATTTATGTATACAACTTTAAGAAAGATTATACGAAATAATATATGCTTATGTTTATAAATAAATTTTATTTTTTTTTTGTGTACCCTGGTTGCAGCACGCTCGTCCGAGCGGCACGCGGCATGAAGAAAAGAGCACCCGTGGCAGGAGCGAAATAAATTAATAACTAGCGACTCCGTGCAAGTTTCCGTGTTTTTTTCTTTTAAATAATGTATTATAGAATAAGGATTGATATTCAATGTAAGCGATTAAAAAATCTGATCGAGAAGTAATAATTATTTCCATTTGTTTATAAAAATTAAAAAAAAAATTTTAAAATTTATTCAAAATAATCATTATTTGAAAAAATGAAACAATCAGGCTAAAACGTGTAAAATAATTACTGAATTCATAAAAAAAAGTTAGTAACAATAACTCTTGTAAAACTTCGAATTTAGCAAAATTGCTCAAATTATATTTTTTTTACGGTTGTAAACCGAATAAAGTGATTTGTGCGAAAAAATCTTGACCGTCCAATTTTGGGTGGCCCACTTGAGAGATTTCCACTCATTGCCAAGAAAATTGTATTAGACAATTTTGCAAAAGAAATGCGAAATGCTTTTAACAATATACACGCATATACACCAACACAATTTGTCCGAGAATAAAATAGAGTGTTAAATATAAATAATTACAAGTGCACAGGGACCGAAAATAACAGTTAAATATCAAGATTTTGATTTTTAGATCATTACAAAATCTTTATTTTTGATTTTTATTTCAAATTCAATCGTTTTTTTTCTATCAAAAATAATCGTTATTTTGGCATATATGTAATACTTCTATATTGGCAGTAAGCTAACTTCTCAATGTGTAAGCATTCCGAAATCAAAGCGAGACAGTCTAGTACCGTTTTTGTCAATGGATTGTGTACTTGAGTGCCGTTTTTGTATATGTGTTGTGTACATGTTTATTTAAAAACGTATGTGTTCCTTTTCTTTCGTACGTGTTTATTGATATTTCTGTACTGTAGTGTTTTCGGACGGTACTAGCTCTTACTGCCAATATAGGAGTATTACATATATGTATTTTGGATAAACAATTTTTTCCATAATTTTTAACCGTTTTAAAGGAAACTGCATTTTTATGGTGGTTCTAAATATTTTATGGCCCAAAAAATTAAATAAAAAAATTACGGTTATGGAATGATTTTCCTAAAATTTTATGAAAACTAAATTTTTTGCCAACAAGCCATTGTTTATAAGAAATTTAAGTAGTTTAGATTTTCCCTAATATGTTTTTGCTGATTCCTTCGACACTATTTCAGTTCAATTCTAATCAAAATAGAAAACGTGAAAACATAATTTTACGATTTATTCGACTGGATCTATTACCTTTAGTAGGTCACTTATGAAATATTCGTGCAAAATTCTTAATTTTGATACATCATGTAATGTTTGGTATGTTACTGGGTTAATTTAATCTCTCTTATATAAAAATGATGATACATTCTACCTTTCTGAAATCTTCATAACAAAATCGGCGTATCGATAGCTCAGCTCTTAGGAAATATGATTAAAAAGTTGCTATAAGTTGTATTCACGAAAGACCTAAGTTGGATTAAAATATTTTGCAAAAAAGACTTGAATTATACGCATTTTTATGATTCACTTAGAAAACAACGTTCTTCATTTACAGGATGAAGGATGAGATTCCTTAATACACATACATACATATTTACAGTAAAAAAAAAGATCTCAAGCATCATTTTGTAAAAATTTGTCATTACAACGACATACCCCCATGAGTAGTTGATACATCTTCGCTCAAGATTTGCAATCAATAAATCCGCATTCTTATTTTAAATATTATTATAATCCGTCTACTAATTCTCTCAAAAGGTTACTGCTGGAAAGTAGAAGTCAAAGGGGTGGATTCCGAATTGACTGGCGGCCCACTGGGTACGGATCTCTACAAATTGGAGCAATTTCACAGCCATTGGGGATGCACAGACGACAAAGGCTCAGAGCACACTGTTGACGGTGTCTCATACGCTGGCGAATTGCATCTCGTTCACTGGAATACTACCAAGTACAAGACGTTCGGTGAGGCAGCCTCTGCGCCAGACGGCTTAGCTGTGTTGGGAGTTTTCCTTAAGGTAAAAAAAATGCGTATTGACAAACACCAATTACTAATTGTCATATTTTTCAGGCCAGCGACAATTCCCATCCGGAATTGGAGAAAATTACTAGTCTTTTGCCTTTCGTTTTGCACAAAGGTGATCGCGTCACTCTACCAAATGCCTGCGATCCTGGCAAACTGTTACCCAACTCCACTGCTTATTGGACCTATGAGGGTTCGCTAACCACTCCTCCATGCTCAGAATCGGTCCTTTGGATTGTTTTTAAAACGCCAATCGAAGTATCACGCGATCAACTAAATGCCATGCGTAATCTTAATTGCTACGCTGTTAAAGAAGAGTGTCCATGCAATGAATTAAACGGTAAAGTGATCAACAATTTTCGCCCACCATTGCCATTGGGTAACCGTGAACTTCGCGAAGTTGGTGGTCATTAAGCAATATTATATTAAAAATATGGTAAAGATTATAACGCTTTTATTGGGTGCCTTATCTCGAGAATATTATTACTGTACTTTTTTATCTAGTTGTGTTCTGCTAATGTTTGTTTGTAATCAGAACTGCTATATTGAGTGATTTCTTAAATATTTAGTAACTTTGGGACCTTAGGTTTCAAAATACATCTCTTTTCACTAAAATTTTATGTGTAAGTATATAAATGTGCTATAAATGTATGTATGTGTACTTATGTATTTCTTTGGAAATGTTCACATCCCTAAAAATATTCACGAGCATTCGTATACTACATACTACTTATTTGCACATGGCATACCGTTTGCTGTTGTTGTTAATGTATTGTATGACAAGTATTTAAATAAAACATTATTTCATTGTTGCGATTATTTAGAATGTTTATTTTATATTAATAAATAGTTTCATAACTGGTTGCTATTTTATATGACTATGGGTAATAAGCACACTTACTTTAATTACGCACTAAAAAAATATTGGAAACCCCTTTCTCCAAAAAAAAAAAATTTTACGTATTTGTTTAAACCAAATGAAAGTTTACACCTCCCATACAAGCATTTCAAAAGCATTTTTAGCCTATCGATCTGGTATTGTTAACCGACTTCCAAAAAAGGAGAAAGTTATCAGTTCGTTGGAATATTTTTTTATGTATGTTACCGCATAACTTTGGACCACGTCAACCGATTTCGATAACTCTTTTTGCATCGGAAAGGTAGTGTCTCAGAAGTGGTCCCATACGAAACTGGTTTGTTTAGATCCGAGCACCGGATCATGAGATATATATATATATATATATATATATATTTATATGAGGATTGAAGTCGGTTTTTTTTGCTAAAAATTACTTGTTTAATGTGTATTTAAAGTTGGTGATCAGAATTCTTTTAAAAATATTAAAAAGTCTTTTTCCTATACAAAAAGTTATTTTTTCTAATAAAACATTTACATACAGCATAAGTTCTACCATGAAAAAGGTATAAAAAATGGATTAATCAGCCTTAGAAGTACTATTTTTCAATGAGAAACCATAAAAAATAGCAAAAATTGTTCAACAGCGCATATCAAAACTGAATTAATCCATACTTTCCAAAATAACTCCATTATTTGATAGAATTTTACTCAATTTTTCGTTTATACAGGGTAAACAACTTAAATACACATTAAAAATCGATTTATGGGCTAAAAATCCTTTTGGAATTTTGTTATGGGAAGTGTTATCTTTCATTTACTTTTGGTTTCATCAAATATGGAGACATGAACCATTTTGTATCACAGTGTAATTGATGGATACGTGCAATATGAGCAACCACGGTTAAATGCCGAATTGTAACTTAGTAGTGCAAATTGGGCATTTCTGTCAATTATAGTTTATAAACAAGTAATTTTTAGCAAAAAAAAAACCGACTTAAAATATATATATATATTTCATGATCCAATGATCGGATCTAAACCAGATTAGTATGGGACCACCTCTGAGACACTACCTTTCCGATGCAAAAAGAATTATCGGTTGACGTGGTCCAAAGCAGGGTTGTTGCGAATATTATTCCGAAATAAAAGTCCTTTCCGAATAATAAACAAACCGCTTATCCAAATTAAACAAATTTGGTACCAAATGAAAGAGGACTTAAATAGGTTCAAAACTGAAATGTCTAAACGAGGAAAGCCACACATTGAAAAATATTTCAATAGGTTAGGTTAGGTTACACTGGCCGGCTGATGCGCCTTACATAGACCCATTGGTCCTTTGTAGTGCCAGATGGAGGTCCGTGTTACTGCGATCTAAAGTAGTCGTCGTATAGGACGTCAACGCTTTTTGCGAAGTTCAAGAGAGCCTTAATATCCAGTTTTGAAGCCTCCTCTAGTCCTTTGATCTGCGAAGCTCCGAGATATGTAAGGCGAGTTCTAGCTAAGGCCGGACAGATACACTTCCTGCATGCGTCACTGTTAGTAATGCCCATTCTGCATGCATGGGATGCCAGTAGGTTGTGGCCGGTCATTAGGCCAACAACTGTCCTGCAATCCCTGCGTGACCGTGTAAGCAAGAAATGGGGGTTTCCTTTGCTGCGATTGTACATGATCTTGGTGGTTTTGCATGTTGTTAAAGCGTTCCATCTCACCCGGATCCGGCACTCAGCCCTTTCGGAAATTTCATTATAGATCGTTTTTAACGACTTTTGTATTTCCTGTACTGGTTCGCTAGCAAGACGGATGGCACTTTTGGCAGATTCATCAGCTATTTCGTTGCCTAAAATGCCCTTGTGGCCTGGAACCCAGTATATATGCAACCGTTTACCCTCGGCCACCCTGTCTACTGCTTCCCTGCTTCTAAGAACATTTTCTGACGAAATACGATGTGCGATTATAGCCTTAATCGCGCCTCGCTATCGACATATATGTTTATATTTTTTATATAGTGTCCTGCGTTGTTAGCAATCTCAGCAGCTTTCCCTATAGCGAAGACTTCCGCCTGGAAGATACTGCAGTACTCTGGCAGCTTGAAGGGTTGCCTGAGGTCTAGCTCGGCGCAGTAGACTCCGGCGCCCACTCCATCAGCCATTTTTGATCCATCCGTATAGATGTTATACGTTACACGTAGCTTTAAACCTTCTTTCCCAGATGAAGCGTGGGGGTATGTGGTCAATTTTGCCCTCCACCCCCCTGCATATCGAGCTGTGCCCGAAGGTTCTAGCGGAGAATTCACCTAAGGCCATCAATCTCATGGCGGATTTCGCTGCAGTGCTCTCCACTGCGATGTCGATTGGCGGTAGGTCAAGTAGCCTTTCAAGTGCCGCTGTTATGCACAGTGCAGCGAGCCGCTGTACTCGCTCCAATGGTTTCCTATACGAGTTTTTGTTGGCAGGGGTCCACCATACCAGAGCGCCGTATAGCAATATCGGCCTTACTACCGCTGTGTAACACCAATGCATGAGGCCAGGGGATAGGCCCCATGTGGTACCCAGCATCTTTTTACCTGCATAAAGGGCACCACTGGCCTTTTTCACCCTTTCCTCTACATTTAGCTTCCACATCAGTTTGCTGTCCAATATTACTCCCAGGTACTGGGTGTGATCCTTGATTGATAGCTCCTCCCCGTTGAGCCTCGGGGGTTTCCACGCGGGGATTTTGTACCTTCTTGTGAACAGTACCGCATCCGTTTTGTCAGCATTTACCTCTAAGTTTTCTGTTGTCGCCCATCGATGTACGACCCTTAGAGCGCTTTCCATTACGTTACGGATGGTGTCTAGGAATTTCCCCGTAACAACTATAGCTATGTCGTCCGCATAGGCAATTAGTCTGGGTGCTTTCCCTTCGAATTTCCCCAGAAGCTCATTCGCTACGAGTAGCCACAGGAGTGGTGACAGAGCGCCACCCTGAGGAGTTAATCTTTCTGCAGCTCAGCAGGCTCTTTATCCATAGTAGGATGGCAGACTCTACCTGAGCTGCTTCTAGACTTTCCACTATTGCCTCATAGGAGACATTATTGAATGCCCCACTTATGTCCAGGAAGACCCCTAGGGCATATTCCTTATGCTCCAGAGTTCTTTCTATTACCGTGGTTATTGAGTGAAGTGCAGTCTCAGTGGATCTACCCTTCGTGTAAGCATGCTGCGCCTTTGATATGCTGGCCGACGGCAGCTTATCTTAATGTATGCGTCCAAAATCTTTTCGAGCGTCTTTAGAAGGAATGAGGTTAGACTAATTGGTCTCTATTCTTTCGAATAGAGGGGATTTCCTTTGCCCGCCTTCAGTATGAATACGACCCTCGCCTCTCTCCACTGGACAGGCACATAGTTTAACCTTAAACATCCCTCGTATATTATTTTCAAGTATGGTGCCAGCACTGCGGAAAATTTTTGCATCATGACTGGAAATATACCGTCTGTGCCTGGGGACTTAAACGGTTCGAATCCGCCGATAGCCCACCGTATTTTTTCTCCCGTTATGATGTCTGGGGGGACATTTTCCATGCTATCCCTTAAAAATTGTAGATCTATGCTGTCTGTACACCCCGGAAAATGTGTGTTGACTAGTCCACTAGCTAGCTTACAGTCCACTCTCCACATTTTTTGCGTAGCAACCTTGGAGTAGTCGGGTTCTTGGATAGCAATTTCCTTAGCCTGGCTACCTCGGTTGTTTTTTCTAATTCACCGCAGAAGCCCTTCCACGACTCCCGCTTGCATTTGCGAATCTCTTTCTTGTATTCCTTAAGTATATCTTTGTATTCCATCTAGCAGAACTCGTCATCGGCTATCTTGGCCAGTTTGAAGAGTTCTCTGACATTTCTTCTGAGTGCTCCGAGACCCCTGTTCCACCAAGGTGGCTTTGAACCTCGCCTTGCATGTAGCGGAGGGCATGCGATGCGATAAGCTTTGTTTAGAGTGTTGGTAAGTGTTACTACCAGTTCCTCCAATTCAGAGTGGGAGTCACTTACCCTATACTTGTTTAAATTCTTCCTCACTACCCTTTCATACAATTCCCAGTTCGTATTCTTGGGATTTCTGAAAGTTTCGCTTTTTGTACGGGCTGAGAATTCTACCTAAAATCCTACATACCTATGGTCAGAAAACGAGGCTGTACTAAGCACCTCCCAGTTTCCTACTCCGATTCCCCCACTAGTGTGGAGTGTTATATCAAGAACGTTCTTCGAGGTAGGGCCAATATAAGTTGGTTCCTCACCCTGGTTGGTTATATCTAAATTACTTGTTAAGATAAAGTTTAGTAAAGACTCACCCCTTTCGTTGGTACCTCCACTCCCCAATACCGTATTGTGCGCATTGGTATCCGCGCCTATGACGAGTGGACGTTTCACCTTCTCGGCCTCTGCCACCAACCTCCGGAGTCCGCTTGGTGGCGCCTCCTCATCGTGAGGCATGTAACAAGATGCAAGGAGTATTGTGTCATCCTTGCCATCCTTCACAGCTACCTCCGTCAGGTCGTCTGAAGAGAAATTAAGATCAATATAAGAGTGTATACTTTTCTTAATCAGTGTAGCTGTTCTTACCCTATTTGTTGCACTCGGGATGTGCGTGTAGTATGTTTGCGACTTTAGTCCAGATACCACGTTTCCCGATGCTATCCATGGCTCCTGGACTAACGCCGCATCGTAGCCGATCCTCTCTAAATTGAGGAGGAGCTCGGCAGAGGCGACCTTGCTTTTGTGCAAGTTTATCTGAAGAACCTTTACTGCAAGGATCAGGATTCTTCTCGGGGTCGGGTAGAGTCTCCGGTTCACCCTTCTCGGTATCCTGGAGCTTCAAGGTGGCCTCCAGGATCTCTCCCAGATCCTTCTCAACCTCTCGCTCCTCCAACGTGTTCTCATTCTTATCGGCCAGGTTTCGCTTCTTCAGGCGAAGGTATACGCTACCTACGCCCCACGCCATCTTCCCGAACCTAGCGTACAATATGTCTTCGGCCGGCTTATTTATTTGGAAGATGTAGTTTTGGCTGCTATCCTCCTTTCCGGAGTTGTTGACCTTTAACACCCTCCAATCTCCCGTCCTCTCTCTGCAGAAGCCGCAGCGCATTCTCCGATTTTACCGTGCGGGGTATGAGCACCTTCGCTTTCGGTATGGACGGTATGCAGCTGCGGTCCACAGCCTCCAAGACGGCGCTCTCCCACAGGCCTTGAAGCGTCGCGACAGCTTCCTTTACCTATAGTAGAGTTGGATCGTCCTTGCACTTTAATATTTTTACCCCGTTTAGCCACCCGGCACCATCGAAAGTTGGCATGGTCGTGTTAGGGTCCCCATCCATTTTTTCGACGAGCGCATCCAGCAGCTTTAACTCCACTGCTCCCCAGCGCTCCTGAGACATTTGTCCCAGCGGATTGCTACGGTCTATGAGTGCCACGATTAGATGTCTCCTGGCTATCTCACTGGCCGTTACCGCCGCTCTCCGTGTTGTCGCTTTCTCTTGATCGAGCCTGACGTTTGGCTTTGCAGCGTCGTCTCTGCGCTTAGATCTCTTGGCCGGCCTTGCTGTCTCGCTTTCAGCAGACCGCTGCCTTTTAGCCGCGATTGCTTCCTCGATCCGGTTTACGAATCCCGGGTCCGTGGCATTGAATCGTGGCCTTGCCGCGTAGTACGCCCGGCCTTCCTCCATTTTCCCCTTATCCCAAGCCAACCTTTCCTCCTCTTCCTTCGTCCGGTTGGACTTGCAGCTAAGTCTCTCGTGGACTTTGACCGCCGCCTTGTATATGGCTTTAGAATTCAATCCCTCCTTACTGGGTTTTACCCTAGGCCTTTTCTTTGATGCCGAACAAGCACCTTTGGCATCCCCCGGAGAGCATAGCAAGGCTTCTTCCTCTTGGGTGGTAACGCTTTCGAGGTCCTAGTCTTCGTGGACTGTGGAACCCATGCGCTGTAGCGTCAGTTTAGCGGTAGCACTACAACCGCTGTGAACCGCTCCCTCCACAGCAGAGGTGTGGGCGCTGGCGACACAGCGAGTAGAATCGCTGTGCCCGCCGGTGGTAGTAGCCACTTCTCCCACCGACGTTTGGGCTGATATCCCAGCCCGTTCTTCTTCTTTTCTAGCCTCCATGGTGAGTTTTTGTGTCAGGGAACCTCTACACCTAGCGTTTTATACCTACCGCCAGGTACCTCGTTAGCAATGGCAGAAGTAGGCATACACCCCTCTCCCCCAGTTTCATATGCAGAGCAGAGTAGAGCATAGCACTAGGAAGTGAAGGATGGATACATACTCCTGCCTTCGCTAGACGCCGCCTGCTCGCACCGCCAAGACCCGCTCTAGGTACTAGCCTAGGTGCTAAGCCATCGCGGTTACAGCAGCGACGCCCATTGCCCAGTCGGAACCCGCGGGGAGGATATAGCTAAGAGGATTTTTGCCGACCAAATATTTCAATAAAAAAATGTTAATTAATTACCATAGAACAAACCTTTGTCAGGTATATGAATTTCATTAGTATTAATTTATAAAAAAAAATATAAATGGAGATCCTTTCATATGATACCAAATTTGTTTAATTTGGACAGGTGGTTTGTTTATTATCCGGAAAGGACTTTTATTTCGGAAAAATATTCGCAACAACCCTGGTCCAAAGTTATGCGGTAACATAAAAAAAATTTTTTTTTAAATATTCCGACGAACTGATAACCTCCTCTTTTTTTGGACGTAGGTTAAAAAAAGAGACTGATACTTTGCACTGATGCATTTCCGAACAGCGGGGACACTATACAGGGAAAAGTGTTCTTCCGGGAATTCTATAAGTAGACCGATAATTTTTAAGCTGCTGGCTAAGAAAAATGTATTTAGGATCAGGGACGTGAACCGGATGAAAATTTGGTCGGTTGGATTCAGCGGTTCGAACCGTTTTTGCACTCAAAAGTGCATTGGTTCGTCAAATCGGTTTTTTGGTCTTTGAACCGGGGTTTCGGTTCATTTCAATGGTTCGAAAAACATAAGAATAACGCGCAAGTTTATAAGTATCAAGTGTCAAGTGCAACAACGCGCAAAGTTAAGGGTTAAGTGTCTGTCAAATGAGATGGGTTGCCTTTACATTTGATGTTGTCACATGGTAAAAAAGTGGGTGCATTTATCTATTGAAAATTGATTGAAACGAACCTTTAAGTCTTTATCGAAAGTGGTTCGGTTTTTGGTTCGGATCAAACATTTGTAGAAAATTTCGGTTCGGTTAATGGTTCAGTTCACTAATAGAAAAAAGCGGTTTTCCGGTTCAAAACTGGTTCGGTTCAAAACCGGTTCGCGTCCCTGAAAAAATATAGTTCATTTTACACCAAAAAACATAAAAATAAAATCTCTGAACTTTATGCAAAACTCAGCAAAATTCAATAAATTTGCACACTAATTTGAAAATTCTAAGTATGCAGTTTTATAGTCCATAAAATGCCAGTTTAAAGTTACTAGCAAGTTGCGTTTATTTTTGGCAATTTTTTTAGTGGAAGGTGTTGCTCATTTTCTCCATACGAAAAATAATTGTCGAATATGCTTTGTATGGAAGAACTTGCGTGAAAAAAAAAATTGAAAAATTCAACGCGATTTTCTAGCGACTTCAAACTTGCACTTTGCTATACTAAATTTGAATAAATAAAAAGTTTCAAATTAGTGTGCAAATTTAATTAATTTTCCTGAGTTTTGCACAAAGTTTAGAAATTTTATTATTATGTTTTTTGGTGTAGAATGAACTATATTTTTATAAAAAATTATCGAAAATAAATTAGAATAAAAAACTTTGCATATATTGCGAAAAATTCCCTGTGCAAATACTTCTTTTCGACACTTTATGTACATTAGACGTGTTTTTTGATGTATTACAATTTTTCAAAATATGTTCCAGATGGTTGGATTGGGCTGTTTTCTCCTTTCGACCTAAATATAGCTGGAATGAAATTCGGTGTAAATTGGACGACGGAAAGTCGACGCGGAAATCAAGTAAAGGTTGAATATGTACTTACACGGACGAAAAATCAATTTTTGTCGATTTTCGTTAAAATTTATTTTTGTAAATGTTAGACTTTTGATAGATTTTTAATAAAATTGTTTTATTAGGTAAATTATCTGTACAACGATCTATATGTTATAGATTCGGTTACAAGATAACTAAGCTGCAGGGTTTTCGACTTAAAGTAAGTTTGTTTTTTATATGTAGGACAAATTTTCCTATAGGATTCTACAATTTGAAACAAAAACTCTTTCTCTTCTTCATTCTTTATTGAAATTCTTCGTGATTTTAATTCCTCTTTCCGGGGTGTCATTAGCAGGGCTGGCAAAAAAATGCAAATGCTTGAAAAGGCTTATTTTGCTTATTTTTGCATTTATTCGACTTACGTGCATATTTTTGCATATTTGGCGAAAAAAGACGATAGATTGGTGAAACAAGGCGCATTCATACATATGCTTTTTATACTCTTGCTACCACCTTGTATGAATTGGCCTTGATTCAATGCGAGGCGAATATAAGACAATATATGAATTCAAGACTTGCGTGTAAATATGTATGCATGTAGGATTTTATGTACATATATATGAACGATCAACGCGCGACCGACCGAACGAGTAATTCCGATTAAACAATAAACCTGTTTTATTTTGGTGGTTGCCATGCCGAATTATTGATAACGCTAGTTTACATGTTCTTTAGATGCCACTATCCAATTCCTATGTAGAATTGCTCTGTGATTCCGAATATAAAAATAATTTTTTTTCTACGGATAACTTTTCGAGATATTTGCAATTTACCGTTATTCAGCTTGAAAAAGTAGTGGTTTCACTTAATCACGTATATCTCACGAACGGGGCACCGAAATTGCGCATATGGAAACTGTGCATTTAGACATTATTTCGGTTTCAACCGAAACTGTGCATGTATGCTTTATTTCGGTTTTTACCATATGCATTATTTCGGTTTTAAACCGAAACTGTGCATGTATGCATTACTTCGTTTTTTTTCATATGCATTATTTCGCTTTTAAAACGAAAGTATGCATATGCATAATTTCGGTATTTTCTCATATGCATTATTTCGGTTTTCAAACGAAACTGTGCATGTATGCATACCTTCGTCTTTCACATATGCATTATTTCGGTTTTCATCCGAAACTGTGCATGTATGCTTTATTTCGGTTTTAGCCATATGCATTATTTCGGGTTTGAACTGAAATTGTGCATGCATACATTATTTCGGTTTTTGTTATATGCATTATTTCGATTTTCTAACGAAAGTGTGCATATGGATAATTTCGTTTTTTCTAATATGAATTATTTACTTCTACTTAGTAAGGGTTTTAATCCCTAAGCGCAGAGAAAAGAGAAAAGTTCTGCGCAAAAATACGTCCGCCCTTCTTTTCCGGCAATACAGAAAGGAGAATTCTACTTAGTAAGGGCTATAATCCTTAAGTGCGGCCGAAGGCCGCCTACGCAGAAAGAAGTTCTGCGCAAAAATACTTCCGGTCCCCTTTTGCGGCAACACAGAAAGGAGAATTCTACTTAGTAAGGGTTATAATCCCTAAGCGCGGCCGAAGGCCGCCTACGCAGAAAGAAGTTCTGCGCAAAAGTACTTCCGGCCCCCTTTTCCGGCAACACAGAAAGGAGAATTCTACTTAGTAAGGGTTATA